TTGGGGACCTAACTAGGGCTTTTAAGGTAGAAAGATAGGATTTTTCGAGCTAGAACAGGCACCCCATAGTAGTATTATCGATATTGTTTACTGTAAGAACAATATCGATATTGTTCTTCAGTTAGGAAAAAAACCAAACAAGTTTAAAAGGGAAGTATCGATACTCATACCAGGAGTATCGATACTAGGGTCCCGATTTCGATACTGATCGTGTTGGTATCGAGGCCACCAATCCAATATGCAATTTTGGTATCAATACTCACATAGAGTATCGATACTAAGGAAAGGGTATCGATACTACAAGGGTAGTATCGATACTGGAAGTATTTTCAAAAAATCAAACATAAATTTGGTATAGACACCCCAGCATTAGTGTATCGATACCCCAGCGCCAGAGTATTGATACTACCTTACCCAAACAACCTATGTCAGTCATAGGGTATCGATAACAGGGGTTCAGTATCGATACTGACTCCTCAGTATCGGTACTGACGGGTCATTTTGGATAATTAATACATAGAATAATATATCAAACCTGAGGTACCTCAACTACACCAGAATAACAGTAAATAAAACTTCAAGTGATAATAGTAATTATTATCATAACAATGGAAACAGAATCAACTAGTAATACACAAAACTAGCATTGTTTGACACTTTAGAAATAACCAAGACACTCGAGTTCCTCTTAGCAGAATTACAACAGTCAGTGGATATCCAAGTCAATGTCAAGGTACCACTTTAGCAGTCGATTGGGCACAGATTCCCCAAGACTCGACGGAGTAAGTTGACAGGTGTATGTTTCGAATGGAACTTCGGATCTCACCTTAGATACCCGAGGGTATCTCAGAAAGGTTATAAGGGTGTGTGAGCTCTGAGATGCAGAACCCTCAGCCCACACCATGATGCCTACTCAGTATTTAAAATCAATATCTTTGCATGTTCAGACTTGTGCCGCTAGCCAACTGATTTAGTGAATGAATCTAGTATAGTGCAATTATTAGTGAGACACTAAACTCGTAAGCTCAATGTTAAGAATGTGTTTTTGTGCACAGGTTCTTAAGGGTAGTTCGTGGGGAGTTATCGTCACCAGACATTCTAGTGCAGCAGTTCAGACTATCAGAGACTATCAGAGTATGTCTTGAGTCATCTTTAGAGGGCATATATTATTTATGGACCCTTATGTGTATTTAGTCGTAAATTTGATTTGTACTTGATATTATATTATTTTGGACATATTTTGGGAGCTCCTCATTATTTTTGTAAACCCAGAATATTTCTCATGTTTTATTTTATTACTATAGATTATCTATTTTCAGTGATTGACAATTAGTTTTTAAAGAAAATTTTTGGGTCACCATTTTGGTAGTCCTGTATAACATTATAATCTGTGGATCTTTGGGTCGGACTGGATTAGGGTGTTATATGATGAACATTCTCTGAGATTTTCAAGAGTTCACAGGCAAGGGTATGATGGGGCTAGTAATATAAAGAGTAAACTTAATGGTCACAATTAACTTTAATCTTGAGAGAAACATAATCTCCATGCTATATACATTGTTTTGCTCACCAACTTCAATTAACTCTTGTTGTTGTTTCTTTAAAAAATAAAGATTGTAGTTAGCTTTTTGATACACTTAGAGATTTGTTGAAAATAGTGAGATTGTAACCACAAAAGGTTTAAACCAAGAGCTTGGTTTAGGTAAACCAAGTGATACACGTAGGGGGTCTTATTATAAGTTTGTTTTGAATGTGATTGATTTGTATTTTGCAATACGCGATGAGCTGCTTGATTTGATTAGTAATGATGCTCAAAAAGCTAATAATTTGAGTTTTGCAATGGAGTCATTTAATTTTATTTTCATGATTCACTTGATGAAGAGAATATTTGTGATTATGAATGAGTTAAGATCTTGTCAATACGATGTCTCTTGTCACTTGAACTAAAGAAAGATTGCAAAATATGAGGGAAAAAATGAGTGGAAGCCTTTTCTTGCTACAGTCATTTCATTTTGTAACAAGAATAACATTAATATTCTTGATATGAATGTTGTGTACTCCTCCAAGAAGAAAGAAACTTTTTCATTTGGATACTACTAATATTCATCATTTTCGAATTAAAGTGTTCTTGGGAGTTATTGATCGTCAACTTCAAGAGTTAAACAATAGATTTGATGAGGTTAGTATAGAGTTATTGACTTGTATGGCTTCTTTGGTGATATGTGGAAGGATGATAGATTTTGGGTATTGAAGGATATGGGTGAACGTTTCATGAAGCTAGTCTAGACAAATAAGCATTATGTGTACCAACAAGTCTATTTGCTCATAAAATTAGTGTTGGTTCTCCCCGTAGCAACTGCAAGTGCAGAAAGAACATTTTCTAAAATGAACATCGTGAAGAACATGTTGCGAAATAGTATAGGAGACCAATTTCTAAATGATTTTTTGGTCATTTATATAGAATGAGATGTTTTTCTCCAAATTGATGATGAAGAAATCATGAAATGATTTCAAGTAATGAAAAGTTGTCGAGAACAATTGTAATTATTTTTAGTATTAGTATTTTTTTGTGATTTTTGAATGGATTGTTATTTTGGGTTATGTAACATTTTTCTTAGTGAATATTATAATATTTATTTTGAAATCCATTTTTGAATTTATGGATTCGCCATTGAGTTCAAGGACTTTAATCTTGATGAAAACTAATTGTTTGATGTGGCATTATTGATAACTAGTCATTGGTACAAATTAAGTTGACCTCACTCTTTTAAATCAATCTTTTTATGTCTTACTTTGCCCAGTCTACGCTTATATCTCTCTGCCCATCTATAACAAATCTTCGGTCTGTTTGTGGTTGGAACCTTCGTTTGGCCACCTAAAATTTAATGTCGATGGGATCTTTCATGGCAACTTCGATACTACTGGTATTGGAGGCATTCTAAGAGATCATGAAGAATGCATTCTTGCAAAGTTCTCGAAATCTGCAGGGGCTATTAGATCCTTCAGTGGCTAAAATTTTAACGGTTATGGAAGTTTTTCGTTTTTTCCTGGATTTCAAATGGTTCTCTTCTTGTCGTCTTATTATCGAGTCAGATAACAACGTGGTAGTAACGTAGATTAATCTACGTCAATCAGTACCGTCGCGTTTTTAGGGCTAATATTCAGTTTTGTCATCATCTTTGCTGCAGTAATTCATGGAAGATCTAATCTATTTTGAGGAAAGGAAATGATGAGGTGGATCAGTTGTCGAAGGCTGGTATTGGTTCGTTTTAGTCTGTTGGTTGGAAATTTGCTTTTACTTTAAGCTGTTGGCTTTCCTTTGTGTAGATTGGTTTGACTTTGTTGGGTGTTCTGTCTTGAGAAGGTTTATGGTAGGTTTAGTCTTATTTAGGTGGTGGTGTATGTGTTTGTGATTGTCTTATATTGATTTTCTTGTTCAATCGTCTTGTCTACTGGCGATGTCACGATGCACTCTTTTTCTTTCGTTTAAATTTAAGGAAGTTTTTTAACAATGTTCGTGACTATGGCTAGTTCTTGTATGATTTTCCTAATATAATCATATTTTTTATCTTTCAAAAAAAATTATTAACTAGAGTGCTCAATTAAAAATTCTAATAATTTAGGGATTATTTACTATTTTACCCTAATAAATATTAGGGTAAATTGTATGATCACTAATGTTTGAGTAAATTATTGTTTTTTCACTAAAGTTTCAAAGTAACAAACTGGTCACTAACGTCATCGATTTGTAACAAAATAATCACTCCAATGTTATCCCGTTAAATTGATGATGTAATAACATTAACAAAAAAAACTAATATTTAGTTTTACCTCTAAACCACTTCTAAAAAGTCAAATATGTCCTTGAACTATGATTTTATATCTCAGATAAAGCATGACCACCACCGGATGCGGTTGCATCTGCATGAGCATTGTGGCCCTGACTTTCATTGTATGTGTTTGCCTCAGCATAAGCTACAAGGCTCCCACCACTGCACAAAAGAAGTGACTTAGCTGAAGGAGAGTTTCAATTTTTAGAAGCAGCTGAGCTGCTAAAGAAAATAATATGCTACGTTAAATGAACGTATCTGTATCAAAGAATAGCATCAATTATGTGAATTAAAAACAGCAACCTTGCAATGCAGTCACTGATGCCACATAAAAAACATCAGCAATGTGCAGCAAAACAACAAGACCACAACAGAATTTCTGTTTAGGAAAACATATCAGAATTTGGCTCCCAATTTCCAGAAAAACTTCGACTTACAGAGTCTGGCATAACGATATTTATGCATTAAACTCATTCTTATAATTCCCTTTAGCTTCCCCGTTAATGCTTCTGGTTATACTAAACGCTGGTTTATTTCGCTCCCACCATATTAGGTAAAGAGGTAGCATTACAAGCAAGGTGAAGTAAAACACAGTTCATTTTTAACTAATTTTGATAAATTAATAAATTATGCACTCAAGCTCCTTAACTTTACAAATACATTCAAACAAGACACGATAACAACGTAAATCCAGTTTCTAGATCCACTTTCCATTCTTAATCCAAAGTTATTTTCTTCACCATTTTAAAGAGCCGAGCAAAATTTCAATTTTCCTAGGATGCTGCGACTGCAAATTCGCTTTCACCGGCCATTGAACAGAGATGACACTTCACTTCCTATACCCAGACGGTGGTGTATACGGGAAATTATAAAGTTTTTAGGATAAATTAGATATAAAATCATTTTCCAATGATCTATTTAATATTATATCCATAATTTAGGGGTAAAACTAAAGTGACTTTTGTTACAAATTGATAACATTGGTGATCATTTTGTTATAAATTGATAACGTCAATGGTTAATTTGTTACTTTTTGAAACTTTGGTGGGGAAAATATACTCAAACATTAGTGATTATTTGTGTAATTTACCCTAAATATTAAGGTTTTAAATAAAAAATTAAATAAATAATAACAAAGTTCGCGAGAGAATAGAAATCCTAGAATTGTAAGCTTTGCAATTGCAATGCAATACACCCTCAAAAGAGGGCTTCTCTTCCTGTAAACCCTACCCAAAAAAAAAATCCAGCTTCGAATCCAATGGCCGAAACTAAGAGTCCTCACGAATCTGCATTGCCTGTCAAACGCAAACCCGACCTCACCTCCCAAGATCACGATCCTCAGCGAAACCTCCCCCATAAATCCCCCAAACTCCAAACCCAAGATGAAATCATCCAACCAATTGAAGAAGATCACGCTCTCCACCCTTCTGGAAACAACGATTCCTCTGTTTCTGGTCCCGGACCCGAGAACCGGGATCCTGGAATCGACTCCGGAGAAGGTGAAGAGGGAGACGATGATGAATATGAAGAGGACGACGCCAATGAGGAGGAGTGGAATGGAAGTACCACAGTGGATCGGAAAGGGAAAGGGATTTTGATAGAGGAGGAAAATGATAGTCATGATGAAGACGACGATGATGATTCGAGTGACGGCGGGACTGAATCAGAGGTTGAGAGTGATTTATCTGATGATCCATTGGCGGAGGTTGACTTAGATAATATCTTACCTTCGAGGACGCGGCGGCAAGTGGTACGTCCTGGCGTTCATATTGCGAAAAAAGTCGGAAATAAGGGTGAAGCCGATGATAACGATGACAGTGACTCTTAATTTTGGTGAAGTTTATATTTTCATCTTTTTTTTTTAATTTGGAGGTTAGTGGAATTTAGTCGTTAGTGTTGGTTAACACTACGAGTTGATATATGCCTACCCTGTGTTGTAACCCAATTTTAACTCTCCTAGAATTTCTACGTTCGAAATTTCGGAGCTTTTCTTTTTCCTCGTTTATTTGATTGTTACAGTTGTTTTTGAAATGCCTAAAGATGAGTTAAGATTGAACAAGGGGAGGAATATGCTAAATTGAGTCAAAATTATGGTCCAAGGAATTGGGCATTTGCTGTTAAGCCATTGTGAAATCTGATCAAAATGAGAGCTTTGTTTGCTTATGTCAAGAACATCATGATGAAAAATGTTAGGAAATCATAGCCTCTCTGCAATTGACTGTAACGTACACATGAATAAGAAGTCCTTTTAAGTAAGGAAGCACCCTTCAAATATTAGGAAGAATGTGAACAATTTCTGGAAAACAAGTGTGGTATTTGTATTTTTCTGTGGGGAGAATTATATGTATTTGTAAACCTTACCTTGTGGCTTGTATTCTAAAAGTAAGTTTTGCATGCTGCTAGTGCTAATTATGTGGTTAAGGATCCATGAGAATTTTGATCATTTGAATTTTCATGTTTCTAACTAATGAAGGAATGCCTGCAAAGTGAAAGCATAATTCTTGCTTGGAATCATCATGTTAAACAGTCATGCGTCAAGCATTGAAAGCTTATTCTTGTTTTTGCTGAGATGAAACTTCGTTTTTTAAGACTTGAGTTGTTGGACTCTGTCCTCTTCAGGCAAAGTTGATTGATCAGTTTAAATTAGACTTGCCTCCATATCAGGCCTTGATGGATGGCTTAGTAGTATAAACATACTGACCTTCAAATTGCTTCTATATTTGTGATTTGTTAGTCATTAAAAACTTTCATAGATATAGTAGTGCAGAAACCGCATCAATTGTAGTCATATAATAACTCTGAATTGAATTGTGAATATTGTTATGTAAGCATCAAAAGAGTTGAGCTGTTTTGCTTGAGAGTTGAAGAATCAATATTGCTGAGTAGAACCATTCTGCGTGACATTGCCATGTTTTATTTTTCTGTCCTCGACTGACTTTTTTTTTGAATTGTCTACTGGCTTACTGACTACCAGGGATATTCTCTTTTCTTGGTTTATCATACCACTCAATGGTTGATTATTAGCCTTGACCGACCCTTTAAGCAAGTGAAAAAATCTTGTCATTCTGACGTCACTTTGGTACTGCGATGTTGCATATATAATGTTTGAATATTAGTTTTGTTAAAAATTGTTTGCTAGGCTGTGAGCCGAGGCCGGACTTGTGCAAACGTGGTATGAAGCATTCTATCGTCACTTTGGTACTATGATGTTGCGTATATCCTGTTTGAGACTTGTGCAAACGTGGTATGAAGCATTCTATCATCACTTCGGTACGATGTTGCATATATCTTGTTTGGATATTAGTTTTGTTAAAAATTGTTTGCTAGACCGTGTGCTGAGGCCGGACTTGTGCAAACGTGATATGAAGTTGCAACATGCGCAACTTTTCACATCCATTATTTTGGATTGAAAAATATGAATCTCTCTCGTATGTCTTACACTTATCTCACAATTTTGATATCTCGACGGGTTTGGTCGGATAGCTTGAAAATTTTGGTCTCACCAGAAGTTAGTTATCCATCCACATTGCCTTTTGTGATTAATACAAGCCACTGTAATATGGTATATGGTTTCAAATTTTGGTGTGAAGCATGACTGCAAAATTGACCTTTTCTTATTACCTTTAACAAAAGATTGATTAGTTGACATCAACAGACCATTTTTGTGGTTTTTAAACCTTCTTATTTTTAGTTTCCTTTTCTTGTTGCCTGTGGTATTAGCAGAGGCCACCACGTACGGCTATTGTCGTTGCACATTTCAAAATACACCCATCAAAGATGAAATATGGGACTTGATGTTGCTCCTCATTTTCATTGGACCACCCTTGGAGACATCTTATGTTTCAAGTTCAACTATGTTTCAATCTAAAACAGTACCTCTTCTAAAAAATGATAAGTTTGCCTTAAACCGATTTGGACCACAAAAAACACTCGCATCTTCATGCGTTATCATGGCTGCCTGACCCATTCAGCTTTCCTTCCATACACACTGTAGCATGGAATCATGCCCCTAAAGTTTTGACAATCGCTCAACAAGTCTATTATTAGGTGATAATCGTTTTCATGTCATTGAAAATTGGTTGGATCAAACATTTGTTTCCGAATACACATTGTGTACTTCACATGGTCTGCAATTCTAGCAAATGATGAGATGCCCCTCTGCATATGAAGATGGTGAAATGATCATCACCCTCACCCACTTTCTAAAAACATTATCCCTTCTTTGTTTTTGTTTATTTGTTTGTCTTGGGCTTTCTCATTCAATTGTGTTATCCTCTCCTTGTAATTATATGCAAGTGGGGCAATGATTATTGTATTTTCATTGTCCTTGTAACCTTTTTAAGAGCCTAACCACTCCATCTTCCAAATTTCCAATTACAATATTACAATCCTCTCATTGGATCTTTTGTTGAATAGTATTAGCCCTGATGTCACCCCCACCCCCTTTCATTTGGTCTAAGAGCCAAGGTTCCCAGTATTATCCTTTTCATGTTAAAAAAATTCAGTCTATTGACGAGCTGCACACATCCTATCGTAGCTGTTTGAACTTTTAAGTTCTTGGGAAAACAACATTCATTTTATCACCGACGCTATTTAATGAATTCAATCATAAAATTTTTTGAAACATAAATTCATAATTAAGATTATCTACTGCTACATGAAACCAATACCATTGGTTGATTAAATATTCTGGATATGCATATATAAATATGATCTATCAGTCACACCAACCCCACCTTGTTTTTGGAATGGTTGAAAACTGAGGCCCCCCATTCCTAAGGAACTACTATTAAACTACCCAAAGCAAAAACAACAGTTTTGAAAAGGGGAAAAAAGGAGATGGTTTGAATTTCATGAAAGTAACGAGATTGTAACTGAAAATCCTTAACTAAGATCACTTTCAACTTACTTTACATAAAAGTTTTAAAGAAGAATAAATTATCACATCCAATTCAACACTTTCATGTATGAACTCTTAGTGAAAATTCCTTCGGATTGAGTTTGCTTGTAGAGGTTACATACTGCTTCAAAGCATGGTTTATACAGCTCTGGTGTGAGTTGGACCCATGTTAGGCCATTGAATAATTTAGGGTTTAGCAAAAGAATCATATACTAAAATCTATTACTAATAATTGGTTGCCCCACCATCACATGGCTTTTGAATCCAAATCTTTTTTATTTTCTTTGTGGACTAGTAGTAGTAGGTAAAAATTTGATGATGCCACTGAACATCTTCCACGTGGCATCATCAAATTGGGGGAAGGGGGCACAGCAATTTTTTGACTGAGAATTTGCATATTTTCATCAGTAGTGAGGCCATGTTATGTCATGCCACTAAAAACCAACAAATCAAACACCTTCTTTTAGCTTAGGTTGGTTGCTCTAGTGCTTCCATCCAATCCCCTCTCACTTGGAATGATGCTGGTTGATTCCTTATGAACGGTCGCCTGCATAATCCTCATCCCTTTAAGCATCTTCTCTTATTACAATCACCTTTATTGACATAAGGATGGATGAAAGGAAATACGTGAGATAGTTGTTTCCTTAAAAAATTTAAATTATTATATATTTTATATATATTTTTTGTTAATAAGTTATTTTTATCTCTTAAAATTTTATAAATTTGCTTTCCTAACATAAAATAATGCATCTATGATTAAATACAACAAATCCATATCAATTGTCAACCCAAAGTTGGATTCTCTCTAATAATCAAAATATATTTGTAATTATAAGTCATATATTTATAATTATAATTATAATTATAGTAACATTTCTTCAAATCTACTTTACAAAATGACGAAAGATGGCTATTTCTTGAAGGCTAATGATCATCTTCCATGTTCAATATTATGAGGAAAATGTAGTATATATCTGCTACCTTGATAGGCATAGACCGCTTTTCCATCAGTGGCCGAGGGGTTAATGGAATTTTTTGTCTTTGAACTGCAACTTCTTTTTCCTTTTACCAAATGGGTTTGGTGAAATTCCTAGCTGATGATTATCGGTGGATGCTTTACATATTACTCAAATGAGGCAAAATTAATGTCTCAATCATGGCTTTATTTCACAGCGGTGAATTCCACGACAAAACATGTAAAACTGAACATTAACTTTCCAGGACTGCCCAAAGTGAGTGGCTGGCTAAGCTGCCAAGAAATGGAATAATATGGTAGCAATGAATGGGGATTCGTTGCTTATACAACATAATATAATGGAATAATTATGTTTTAAATAAATTTATCAGTTTTTTTTTTTGGAAAAGCATAATCACAATATATGCCAAATTTTATAACCATTCGAGTCTTTTCAGATATAATTCTCATACATGCATCCTTAAAGAAAGCGAAGAATCACATTCCTATTCACCTGGTTCATGAAATGTCACACTGTAATTACTTGACGGTATATTTAAGAGATTGAAATTATCTAATATTTTGTTTCCACATAGTTCCTTTGACTTGTGGCCCCAAACTTTAATTCGCCATAATTGAGCGGATGTCATTTAGTCAAAGTGATAAATGATTGGATAAAACCATTCTTTATTGAAGATTGTACAATAGTATAGTAGTACATGTAACAGTGTCAGTATAGTACAGTGACAATTAATTTACTTTGAGTGATCATAAATGTAATTTACTATTTTTAGCCCTAAATGAAATTAACTGTTTTATTCACAAACTTCATAATTTTTTATTGTTATATTTATAATCAAATTGATATTTTTTAAATATTATAATTAATTTTATAATATTTATTTAAGATATAACTTTTTAAAACCAATTTAATAATTATATATATATAAATAGTTATATTGTGTCGTTTAAATTAATTTATTTGATAAATATATTAGAGTAGAGATAAATTCAGAGGTTGAGATGAGGATAGTCATTCTCCTAAAAAAAAATTAAATTATCGTATGTTTTATATATTTTCTATAAATAAATAATATGGTTTTGCCCTTTATAATTTTATAAATTATTAAAAAAATTAGAAATCCATCCTCTTGACACAAAATTATTGCGTGGTCGCTATGCAAAATTATATTTTGTGATTGATTATTATATCTGTCGAAACGATTTTTAAAGTGGAAGCGAGATTTTGGAAATCGCATCATTTTT